AGCTATTAGGCAAATACAAAATGGCCAAAAACAAATTAAGAATTCCAGCAGAAGTTTAAACAGGTGAATGCTGATTGGGAAATGACCAACATAAACATACAAACTCGGACTTAGGTCTAACGATTCATTCCACTTTTGTGAGAATGTAGCTGAAACATCTGTACACCTGCTCTTCGAAAAGATGGGAGAATTGTCTAGGTTCATCGTAAAATTTTTACTCCATGTCACTAAACAACCCTAACGGAACGAAGTGTTGTAAGAAATAAGTGGGCACAATAGATGTACTGATGTTGTTGTTCCAGATTGTAGTGCATAGCTCAGCAAATAACTATCGACATACATACATATACTATGTATGGCTTTTTATCGAACAAAAACAACAAAGTATCATCAAAATACGAGTATGTACATACATTTATTTTAGTGTTTTGCCAGAAACATAAATTCCATTTTAAATGGTGTTAATATTCATAAATCTATGTACTAACGTAAACATATGTACGCCCTATATGTATGTATATTGTAGTGCCTTGTTTAATGGACTACTAAACAGAAATATTCGTCACACTTTTCCATAAAAAAAAAACATATAAAGCCACAATGCGTTTACCCAGTAAATGAACAATTGACGCAGACACATACATACATATTTAAAACGTGTACATGTGTAGAATATTCATAACATAAATTGCGCCTGGACGAACATAATGGCATGCTCACATACATACATACATACATACGAACCACATGCATAAATATGTATGTATGTACATATTAGCCATCATACGTTTGCCTTTTCAAATCAGTAATCATTGGTAGGGACCCATTCAAAGGCCTGCATCAGCGTAATCCATGCAAAAAGTGACACAAAGGATATGAAAAAGCATAAAAACAATGGCGATTCGCATGCGATTTGGTGCAGGAATATATGTTTGCACCACACAAACACAGCTAATAATTTGTTTTAGTGTCTCCAAGGAATGCACGGCCTAGGCATTTCATACAACGTTGATGGCCTTAAATAGATGGAATGTGTTGTTCTTCGTAAACGTGGGCCGTTCTTACGTTCTTTCAAAGTAAATCGGTAACCTTAGTGTGTATGCATGATGAGCACGCGGTTCTCACAAAAAAGCCCTTTGTGACAATTTTAATTTTTTGTGCTTAGAAGTATTTTCTAAAAAACTACATATGTAATAAATTTCGTATTTTTAAGATATCGTTAAGACTTTTTCGCAATGAATGCGAAATTTTTTATGCACATTTTTTTTTGCTTATGTTTTATAAAAATATTGTTCATAATATAACAAAAATCATAAATATAAAACTTCTACACTTTGTGCACAACTCAGGAAAATTCAATCGATTTCCATACAAACTTACAACTTTTTAATTAACTCTTTTTTAAGAAAGATTTTGAGTATGCCATTTTGTAGCGCATTACATTTTGGTTTAATAAAGTGCAAGTTTCAAGTTGGCAACGAAGCGGGTTTAATTTTTGGAATTTTCTTCAGAATGGTAAGAGTTCTCAAATAAAATTAGATATAATTTTCGACTCAAATCTAGTAAATTTAAAATCTAATTTCAATTTTGAAACACCATTAAATTAAAGAATATTTAAAGTAAAGTTCAAGGCGAATTCATATAAGGTGGTATTACCGGAACCTTTTTTCAAAACTTATAAAGGCAAAAACGAAAATGCGAAGACAAAAAGAGAATAAAAAAATTGCCCGCAGTGAATTTTCAGATTTTTAAAAGGGTATAGTAATTTAATTTTTTAAATTTAAATAAAGCATTTATACCCCATGGAATAAACGAATAGATAAAAAATATATAACGGTAAAACTGGCACATACATAAATATATGAAAGAATGCACTCAGGCGACGCCTCTAGCCATTGTGTGTCACAAATTTACGTTATAGATGGAATTTTTTTTTTCAGCCCCCCAGAGCTGGCCTATATATCTCTGATCAATACGAAATTACTTCGGTCGCGGGACATAGGCACATTTAGGGAAACGAGGTAGTGGACGAACTAGCAAGGTGCGGCTCTGCAATAAATTTGTCCAACGCGGTGCTCATCGGCACCTCACACAGGGAGATAAAAGCTAAACTTACCCAAAATTTATCACTCGAAGACCAAGCAGAGGTGGAACCGTACAGGATCGTACAGGTTTACCAGGGTGTCCTGCGACCTACTCAAAATCAAAGCTCTCTTAGAAGCAAAGAAGATACCGTTGGCGTACATGCCGCTATAATTGGATTGCCCTTCAACAGGTTCTGTCGCACTTGCGATGACCCTGGCTGTGCGAGTGTGAGGCCCTTGCAAGGATGAGGCTAAAGACGCTCGGCAAGCCATTTCTGCAGAATTTTTCAGAGTGCATCTGCCTATCTTTGTACGACGTATTGAAATTCATTGCAACCACCAAATGGATCTAGGTTGCACGAGTTGTGTAATCATAATGGCAGGCATTCGAATTGCTTGTCCCCAGGGTGAAGCCAATTATAAACTAATTTTCCACATAAATATTTATTTAGGGAATTCACAAGCTTACGTTTTTTTATGTTAAACAACGGTTAAAATTGGTTTAGGGACCGCTAATTATGTACATATATGTATGTATATTTTTTATCAGTTTAAAAACTTTTCGGTGTGACTAGAAATCCTCTAAAACCGTTTAAATCATTATTTTACATACAAATAGTAAGCTTAAGATTTTACGACGGCTAACACGTCTTGTGAATCCCCTAAATGTATTTTGAAGTGAATTGTTTGTGTTATTTTCTAGTTAAAACACATGTGTTATTTATTTTTTGTACCGGCAATAAAATATCAGAAAAATATTTTTAATTGCATATTTTTGAATTTTGAGTGCATATTACGTATGTATATTTATATATATATATCGCCAGCCGTCCAAGTCAATGGGCCTCGCCACTCCACATGGCCCCAAAAAAGGACAACACCTCGAGACCGTGCGGGGACTACAGGGCATTAAACGCTATTACCGAAAAGGACAGGTATCCCATCCCAAATATCCAGACATTTCATCAAGTATTTGCGAACAGAAATATATTTTCAACCATCGACCTGGAAAGAGTGTACCACCAGATACCGATGCACCCCGATGACATCGAAAAGACGGCCATTACGACTCCGTTCGGCCTATTCGAATTTTGAGTCATGACTTTTGGGTTATGCAACGCGCGCCAAACCTTCCAACGACACATCAACTGCGTGTTCCGAGGACTAGACTCTGTCGTCCCGCCAGTCACGCTTTCGGTCGACGCATCAGACAATTGCATCGGAGGCGTATTGCGCGCCTGATAAAAAACGACGAGGCGCAACCCCTCGGATTTTTTTCGCGTAAGCTGACAACATCCGAACGTAACTGGAGTACGTACTCAAGAGAGCTTTTCACCATACACAAAAGTGTTGAAAAACTTCGCCGACCAACTACAAGGTAGATGCTGCACGATTTACACTGACCACAAGGCAATCACGTTCGCTTTCAAGCAGAAACCCGAAAAGGCCGACCCACGACATCTCCGTTACTTAGATTACATCCACCAGTTTACGACCGACATACATACGTTACGTTAAGGGTAAAGAAAACGTAGTCCCTGATTTTCTTTCACGCATCAATGCAGTGCAGCGCGAATCTAGAGACTACGATATCATTGCTGCAGAACAGGAAACAGACAGCGAGCTCAAATCTATCCTTCAGGGAAATGAAGGGTTCAGTATTACCTTGACTAAAATGCCAGTGGTCAATTTAACACAGTGGTCAATTTAACACAACATAGAAATCGTCAAAATGGTTTTCGAAAATCGTCCTTTGTATTGAAAAATCGTCAACACACAAAATACGATACGAAAAAATAGGTATAACAAACTCTTTACGATTTACTAAAATTCACATTACTTATAACAAAAATATTTTTAATTGAATTTAGATAAATAACATACACAATATCTAATGAACTACGCTGGCAATACAATTTTCTGCTAAAAATATTTCGTTAACCCTTGTGTGTTGGAGGTACTTGGATACATACTGTTGCCTGGGTAAAAGATTGTCGTATGTTAATTTCGGCTGGTTGTGGGAAATCGCGTTTGAAGTTTGGAATGCAATTTCTCAAAAACGCGAAGATAGATTTTCTCCAAAGTCTCTGAAAACGTTACTAGTTCACAATACTCTTAAATGATTTAATTTTTAATGCTTACGGTTAATTAGTTTTGAGTTTATGAAGGATTTTCTTAAGTAAAATTTTGTCGTAAGCGTCATTTGTCCACAATTTGGCATCCACTTTGTATGAAATACGACAAAATGTGATCAAAATTTCTACTAAAGTAACGATACTTTTTACTCAATATCTCGGAAACTAAAGGAGATATCTAAAAACTGATAACACCAATCGAGAGATCTTATTTCAAAATATATAACTGCATCTAGAACGAAAAATCGTCAAAACTGCGCTTACGACAATCTTTTACCCAGGCGACGATACGCGATTTTTTATCGAACTTTTTAAATTAGAAAATTGCCTTAAAACCTAAGCGAAAATATAATTTTCCCATTTTTAGTCATATGGTAACACAGTAGAAGTGGATGTCCATATTTCCTTTTCCTTATTATTGATATTTGTTTAGTCATTGTATATATGTATATGGTGAAGGCACCCTTTCCCAAAAAACCGTAGAATTCAAAAGAAAGATCTGAAATGAGAAGTCTAGTATCTACTTTTAGAATACATATATAAAAATCTTTTAGTTTGGGCTTAAGATTTTCGTGTTATAAGCCCAAAAAATTTCTGGTAAAGTAAAAAAAAAATCGAAAAATCGCGACTAAAACAACTGGCAATAAAAAAACTGCACACAATGAAAAAATCATTATTTGCCTGTCGAAATTGTCAAATCGTCAAGACAGTTAAAAATCTTCCAAATAACGACCAAATCGTCAACATGGCAACACTGAACAATAATTCAAAATTTACTTACTCAAAAGCGAAGAAAAGTGCACTAGTGCCCGTAATCAGAATGCAAGTCAGGTAAAAAACTCCCGTGTGGGGTGCGGACATCAACAACCCATCGCAGTAAAACTTATTGCGTCCAGCAAACAGCTCCCATTTGCGAGTTATCCTCGTGTTTGGTGCCATGTTACCGCAGCAGCAGCAGCACAGTAAATTCATTGGTTTTGTCGTGTTCTGCGTCTGCTTGCCCCCCGATTTTCGACGGATAATCAATCCTTCAGGCAAACTTCTTTTGCTTCGTTAAACTCGAATTTTCAATGCGATTTTGGCCTTTTGCACGAACAAATCAAAATTATCTTGTATCTCTTTCATACGCTGATGCGGAAGGTGTTTCTTTCTACTGGCCTCCTTTCTTTGCTTTCGGTATTTGTCAAACTGAATTAATTATTTGCGTGGATCCTCGCTTTTAGAAAATGCCTTCGCCGTTATTGTCAATGTTTCAAAATGCAACGCTAAGAATGTAACGCAATTTTCTTAGCACATCGGGCGCGAAACTCTTATACGTATATTTTTTCTATTGATATTTCGATCAGTATTTGAATAATTTTTGCTTTTATTTAATATGTATACTTTTTGTAACTATTTTAAGTATTGCAATCTTATTGCGTTTGTTTTCGCTTCCATTTTGCTCTAGCCATGATTTTCATTTTCTTATTTCGCCATTGCCAATTTGGACGGCAAAACATTATAAGGAAGCAGCTTTCGTTGAATTTCTTTTATTTTGAAACTAAAAGGCATCGCTTCAAAACATCTCTTTTTGGTCTCGAAAGTTTCTTGTCGGCCATTGTAATTGACATTTATGTTTATGTTTAGGGTGCATTTTACCTGAAAAAATACAGAGAATTATAAGTGTCTGGTGAGAATCGATGGGCTTTTGTCTAAAACTATTCAAATATAAACACAAAACAACAACCACGCAATATGCTATTTTATTTTTAATATATTTAAACAAAGTCGACGGCGTATGATGCTAAATATTTATGAGTTCATTTTCAGAAATAGCTTCCAATGATTTATTTTGGGGTTTTGGGGGTTCCGAAAAAAAACTTGCCGATTTATTTTGGACTGAATTTTCAGCAACTTTGAAAATTAAAATCGGTTATGAATGCCGTTATTCAAATTTTAACGTAATCTGCATTAGAAAAGTTCCTTCGAAGTTCATTAAAAGTTTATTTGTTTCGACCGTATCAGCAGAGCTTTTGCAAAACAATAATAGAGATAATGTTTTACTTATAAATTAAGTGAGGAGATATCATAGATATGTGATAACAAAATACATCTTGGGATTCCTGAGAAAACGGCAATTTTCATGCGCCATCTTGATACTGTCAGTAGTGAACTATTTACCGATTGGAGGGGAGAACTCAATAAGGAGAGTAGTAAACAAAAGGCTGTTTACGAATTTGTTGCTAACAAAGGTCGCTCCCTTAATCTTTTTAGAGGACAAATTAGGAAATTCAGACTTTTCAGGTTTTAAATTCAAATCTTATATAATGGGTAATTTCCAAAAAGGTGCTAAAAGCGGTAAATATGATTTTGACATTTCTCTCTTTTGAACACCGACTATATCCAATGTCAAATGATGAAAAACTTTTAAAAGCTCAGTTATGCAAGCCTTAGACTTGACTCGACTTGAAAATTGTATACCTGGCAAATGAGCAGCGCGTGTAGGTAGTTACCCAAAAAACAATTTCACTTAGAAACTTGGAAAACTAGCCGAGCCGAGAGAGACTCATGCTGCCATATCATTTTCTACTTATTTTAAATGAAAATCCTCCAAATATGCCAACAACAATTATTTTGTATAAATGCAATTCATTTGGCTATCAGAAAACAAACTTTCAAATAAAGACAGAAAATAAAATAAAGAAAATCACAATTTGGTGCGCTTGAATATATTTATTTCAATTGAAATTGTTATCCAATTTTACCTCAAACGTATTAAACGTTACAATTTTGCGTATACAAATACAAATGCTGAGGATCAAAAAAAGAGAAAAGGTAAGTCAACTCAAGTCTAAAAGCCTGATTATGGCAACTTAACTTAATTTAACGGAACGTAAAACTTAGAGAATCAAAATGAAACAGATTTCGACGTGGCATTAAGTTATTATAAGCAACACTCATTTAACAGAATTTTTAAGAGAGAGCCACAAGTTCAATTTGGCATTTTCTATTTTTACCTTCCTTTTATTAGCTCGGGATGTAGCTATGTAATATTGATGCGCCTAAAAGATGCAGCGAATTATATTCTCAAGTTAAATACCTGATGACAGTACGAATGGCAATTATAATAGGGAGCTTTTAGTTTTTTCAACTATAATTTTATTCATTACAAATTCAATTGTCTGCTGTGAAATAGTTTTTTAATTGCGCGAATTTTTTTGTTTTTCGACCACATCCATTTAAAGGCAACCTAACAATCCTCACTTTATTGGATTTTTCGAAAGCTTTTGACACTGTTTGTCATAGAATCCTCATTCGAAAGCTTGACACATATTTCGGATTCAGCAATGATGCAGTGAAACTAATTGAAAGCTATTTGACTAATAGACATCAAATCGGGTGTACCGCAAGGCTCTATTCGTGGTCCGGTATTAGTTCACTTAGTCAATTAAGTCAAGTCAGTTAATGACTTAGAAAAA